AAATTGCAGTCCTAGCACGTCTATATACTATGGCCTAAGGGGTTGAGCACTCGGGCCAGTATGGCCCCCATGTCACTCATAGGGCTAGGCCTAGATGGGCTTACGAGAAAGTTCAAAATTCTCTATATATCACAGAATACGATGTAATCAACTAAATGGAGATGTGCAAATACCACATGTGGTTTTCTATATCTAAACTTCTCAAACTCTATCATGAACATTTATACCTAAAGTCATCTAGAATTTCATTCTCATCAATATCAGTCTTGATCCAATATTGCCTTTTCATGCATTCTAATTTTTTACAATGTCCAATCATTTAAACAAATTAATGTTTCAATCTTTATTACTCATTACTTTCATATATGTTACCAATTAGTTTCAATATATGGTACCAATATATGTTACCAATTACTCATTACATGCATGTCCTAAAAAATCAAGCTTGCCCCAATTCTTGGCAGTCTTTTCTAATTTCGTGGGAGTCTCATATTTAGTACAAGAGGAATCGAAGCATTGGCTACCAGAAACCACGCGAATAACAAAGGAGTCAACATCAATATCTAAGCTTATTTTTTATTGTCAAATCTGAGGAGCATATTCAAAGAAACAATGGTCTCCAATCTCATTGAAACAACTCAGCCTTATTCAAGCATACTTAGACGCTTCAGGCAACTTTTACCAATCAGATGATTCTTTTTACATGGACGACTTTCTAGGACATGCAACCGAAAGTGATCGTCGTCCCCCTATCTCAACTCCGACAGAAATTGTGAAATCAAAATTCAACAGAGCGATTTGCAAAAAATCCAAGTTTGTTACCATAAAAAATTGCCTGCCAACGGATAATTTGAACACACAAATCAAAATATACAGGAAATCTCAAGAGAATAAGAGACGCCACAGCTTGAAGACAAGGTCCTAGTCTAGAGAATTTCCTTGGTGTAATTTTAGGCTTTGCTTTCTATGTACTGTTTTATTTTGTTTCTTTATTTCCTTTTCGGATTGTAATATTTACTTTTTTCCAATAAAATTCACTTTTGCTTAAAAAATGAAATTAGTATATAAAATTAATAAGTACTATGTAAAGCGCTTTTGGGCTGGATTCAGGTGGACTTAATGGGCTGGGTTAGGGTGGATCTTAACGGAAGAAAATGGGCGGGGCTAGGTTTTAAATGCTTTGCCTCAGGCCCACCCTTTCAATAATAGGCTTGGCCGGCCCGTAGACCTTATGAGTTGGGCTGCACTTTTCGACAATTGGGATGACTTGCCCCCCCCCCACTGGTTCATGGTCCCACGGGATAAGAATGATACCATCAATGAAAAATCAAGAAAATAAATAAATAAAAAAATAAATAAGTAACCAAGTAAATAAATAAAGTAAATTAGTAAATAAATAAATAATAAATAAATAAATAAATAAATAAATACTCCCTTCGTATTAGAATAAGTGTCCTAGTAGACTTTTCACATAGTTTAAAATAGTTTATATGTTTACTATACAATTTTTAAAAACGTTGGAGATTTTTAAATGTAGCAGTACTGTTTGCTTTATTAAAGTGTATTGTAACTGCTTTTAAGGTGGAGTTATTTTCAAAAATATATGTAAGACACTTATTTTGATACGACCTAAAAGAGAAAGTGAAATACTTATTGTAATACGAAGGGAAAAATTAAGTAAGTAAATAAGTAAGTAAACAAAAGAACAAAAATAAATAAATAAATAAATAAATAAATAAATAAATAAATAAATAAATAAATAAATAAATAAAAATAAATCAATAATATAATAAATAACTACATAAATAAATAATACTAAAAATTATAATAATCATAAAGATGATGATGATGATGGCGATGATGATGACGATGATGATGGTAAGGGGGTTTTCAAAAATATTATTAAAATAAAACTTATTTACACAAATGTAACTTAAATTTAAAAATTAAACATGAGTTACTATGATTTCACTACTACTCAGGCCACTAGTCACATTTTTGTAAACAATCTTTATTTTAATCATAAATATGTAATTATTTATAATAATAATAATAATAATAGTTGTTGTTGTTGTACTAAAACAATAAAAATAACAAATAATAATTTTTAGTTAGTAATTTTTAGTAATTACAAATTATAATACTTTAGTATTACAAATGATAGTTCTAAGAATACATAACTTACTAATCGCCAAAGTACTTTAAAATTACTAACTTCTAAATTTGTACAACTTAATTTTTAACTACTTAGTTATTTATCGAAAACTATTCTGTTATTGACTATCTAATTATTGTATTTAGTCAAAGAAATAATAATTACGTACTCCGTATTAATTATAGTACTCTGTAATATTTTTTGAGAAATTTTTCATTCGAATAATCTTAATACCTATGGGCTATGGAGTGTTACTTACTCTATTTTTTAAAGGGATAAGGCTCAAATTGGACATTATGGTTTCATCAGAATCTCATATTTGACACTAAGGTTTCAAATGGATCAAATTAGACACTATGGTTTCATATGTTTCTCATATTGGACACTAAAATTTCATAATTCATAGGTTTTGAACACTCATTATATTTGATAAAGATCAAATTGGACACTCACTTTTATTGAATTATGAAACTTTAGTGTCCAATATGAGATACATATGAAACCATAGTGTCCAATTTGGTCCATTTAAAACCTTAGTGTCAAATATGAGATTCTGATGAAACCATAATGTCCAATTTGAGCTTTATCCCTTTTTTAAAACTTAAACAAATTTAAACGTATAAAATAAATAATGAATTTGGAACCAGAAGCCCGAACTGGAATCAAATCGGATTGGATTTGGAACCACAAACCAGCGATTCGTTTTGATTTCGATTTGAACTGCAGACAGGCCTACCCCGACCCCTCGACTTCAAACATCTTGTCCACAACTTAGTACCTGCCACATAAGAGAACAAATACAACATTGCAAAACGACGACAACAAGGGTGAGGACCCTCATGCCCCTCGGCTTCGGGCACATCATCCCCAACGAAGAGGCAAAGACCTTGGAGTTCCTATATCATACAACCGGCTGTACGGTGAGCACAGTACAGCCGGCCCAACAAGGAAAGTAACAGGCCTAAGGAAAAACTAACAAAATAATTCGGTGGCATTTTTGTAAATAATGTGAAAATAGTGGATTCTGGTAAATGAGCAATAGTGTACGGTTAATGAGCAATTGTCTAATTTTAATGCGCATCGTGTTAGCACAAGAAAGCTAATATTATAACAAAAAAACGGTGGCATTTTCGTAATATCAGTGAAAATCGCGGTTTTTGTTAGATGAGTATTAATACACTTCTAATGAGCATCAGACGTATTTGATTGAGCATTAAGAGTCGAATAATGAGGATTGTGATATTAATTTCATATTGTGTAATTCACTTTCTTTTTCTTATTTTTCTTTTATAAAAACTCATTAAATTATATGGAGTATCTATAATCAATTCCTATGAATTTCAATATGCTAATCTTATGTAATACTCCGAATGATAATTTTAAAATAAACATTGGTATGACACTTTAAAATGAGCATAACATCAGTACCAAATGAGCATAAATAACTTTCAAAATGAGCATTGATATGAAAATAATAAGCTTTGCTAGTTGATTATCAAGACATTTTCATTGAGCATCAAACTTTTTCTATTGAGTATTAGAAGCATGTAATTGAGTATCATAATCTTTACTCTGGTGTCTATAATCAACTTGATTTCATGGGAATCTAATGCAATATGGTAGTTTTAAAATATGCATTGATATGTCATTTTATAATGAGCATTATGTAGTACTACGTATTATACTTTTTAAATATGGATGAATATGACATTTTAAAATGCGTATCACATTAATACCAATGGAGCATACATAAATTATGAAACGAGCATACATAATTTACAAAATGAGCAACGAGAAATACAAGAAGCTCATTTAGAATCTCTACTATGCTCAAATTTTTATTTCTGTACGGATGTACCTCATTTGAATTCTCTAGATGCTCAAATTTTCATCTGTGTATGCTCATTTGATTTTTTCAACGTGCTCATTTCTTTTAACCATTATGTACATTTATCATAAACACTTTACTCATTTTTAATATAACACAAAATTTATGTTAGTAATTAACATGATATTAATACACAATATTAAAATACAATTTTAAAATACAAGTTGAAAATGGTGATAGTGGGTTTGAGAACTTTATGTGCTCTCTCTCCAAAGATACTCCGTATTAATCTGGCCACACAAGCCATAGCCGATCTGCGTCTTCTTCGTCGTACTTCTAGAATCTCAGCGAGCAGCAATCAACACCCTACATCATCCACATGGACACCTCCATCGTCACCACCTATCGGCTTGAATCTTCTCCCAATTTATTTCGATTCAGGAGTGGAGATCGAACAAGTGCGGAGGGCTATACAAGAAAGAGAAGACGACCGTGGTTTGCCCCTGACTTAGCAAAATATTACAAAAAAAACCCGGTTGTACCGTGCACACGGTACAACCGGTTGTACAGTGGAATTTGCAAAGACCTTGTTAGTTATTCATCAAGTGTAGATTATATTTATGGAATTTCAGTTTAAAGTTCAATTGGGAAATTAATTAAATTAAATTATTGAAAAACACTTTTTTATTTTATTTTTTATAGTGACTCTTTGCTCCCCTATCAACAAGTTCAAACTTTCACCTATTTTGGCAACTCTGAAACGACGGCGTTCTTTACGTTTGTCAACTCACTCGCTGGAATCGTTGGTGTATCCGTTCTGGAACTACTCAACCGCCACGTCACTGGTGATATATCACCCAATAGCGATTTTTATTTGATTATTACCCCGTAGTGACTCCTAGACTAGTGACTCCTACCCCGTAAATATTTTTAAGTTACAAAACCGCAAATCTTTTCCATAAAAGTGAACGATTATAAATTTACAATATTTTCGGCTATTCGTTTTTGTGGAGTACAGAGAATTTGTTTTTTTTTTTTTTACGATTTTTAATTTCTATCGGCTCCTAGAAAAACATTAATACAACTACTACTCGCACTAATCAATCATCAGACATCTCCACAACTGTTTTCTACATCTTGTTGAACTGAATTTAGCTTGTAGGGTTTGAGCATTGTCTCGCAGAAAAATCTGCTGAAGAACACTCCTCCTCTTCCCAGGATTTTCTAATTGAGGAAACCCTAAACTTGGAGATGAGGAATTGGGTAAAATTCTTGAATTGAGACTTTTCGAGGACTTTTCTAGGACCCTTACTCACGGATTTGTAGATTAAGGACATGGATAGATCAAGATCGAAGAGGTATTACTACGACCAAGACTATGATTCTGATAACCTCCCCAGGACTAAACAGAGATATAACCCACATATCAACCACCATTATGCGCCGCAGTCGAACCACCACCGCCGGTTTGCTTCTGGTGGGCCCGGCCCCGGCGGCGGTCGGAAAATGCAAGACCCTTCGCTAACAGTGACCACCACTTATAGGATCTTGTGTCACGATGTGAAGGCCGGCGGCGTGATTGGCAAGTCCGGCAGCATTATTAAGTCTATTAGGCAGCACACTGGGGCTTGGATCAACGTGCATGAGTTGGTTCAGGGGGATGAGGAGCGGATCATAGAGATTTCTGACACTCGGAGGCGGGACCCGGATGGCCGAATGCCGTCTTTCTCTCCTGCCCAGGAGGCATTGCTATTGATACATGAAAGGATTCTGGAGAGTGATGAGGAGTTTGGTGCTGGTGGGGAGGCCGTGGATGAGTATGGAGTGAGGGGAGGCGGTGGAGGTGTTGCTAACAGGGTGGTCACTAGGCTAGTTGTTTCTAGGATACATGTGGGAAGTTTACTTGGGAAAGGAGGAAAGATTATTGAGCAAATGAGGAATGAGACTATGACCCATATTAGGATTTTGCCCAGAGACAACAATTTACCCCGCTGTGTAGCCATGTCTGAGGAGATTGTTCAGGTTTTCACCAACACTTTGAACCTCTTTAGTTGAAAACTCAGGATCTTGACTTACAAACCTCAATATGATTTGGTTTCGCTTCACAACTTTGATTGGAAGGACTTCATATTGCTTAAAAACGTAACCTTGAACTTATTTATGAACTTCCACTACAATCTTTGAATCAGAAAGTATTACGGAGTATAATTTATAAGCATAAGATTGAACTCTCAAAAATTCCTCTAGTTGTTGTAGCATGCCCAAGTAAATCTAGGGCATTATAAATAATCCATTGGATAATACTCTGGCATGACTTAATAATTGATGCCTGAACTCATATTTGTAGGCCGAGATAGTGATACGATGAATTTACGAAGTGCATGCTAAATTTTATGAGTAATGTTTTGTTGGTTTGTATAAATTAAGAATCTTAACGTCAATTTCCTTCCCCTGTGCTCTTTGATTTAAAACAAAAGTGTATTTTTATACCTGGATCAGAGCTGTTTACCTTTTTGGCATTGCCTGGTTTTTCTACTTCTTGAGCGACTCCACCTTTTCGTGCAGGTCACGGGTGAATCGAATAATGTAAAACATGCACTAGGAATAATTTCCTCACGCTTGAGGGAGAGCCAACACCGTGATCGCAGTCATTTTCATGGAAGGTCTCATTCACCTGAAGGCTTCTTTCCTCCGAATGATGATTTTACTTCTCCCGTGAATGATTTTGGATGCAGAGCATCTATTGATGAGCCAAGATTTTCTGGGAGTTTCAACAATTCCAGGGGCTATAATAGTAAGTCCCCTCGCCCCATCGAATCAGGTGGTGCTCCTTTCACCGACAACAATGTGCAACCCATTGCTGTTGATGTTCTTGTGTTTAGAATTCTTTGTCCAGTTGATAAGATTGATACCGTCATTGGGGAGTCCGGTGGGATTATAGACTTGCTTCAGAATGATATGGGTGTGGATGTTGAGATCACTGACACTGTTCTTGGCTCAAATGAAAAGATTATTACCATATCATCTGATGAGGTAATTTATTCATTGCATCTGTCTTCATCAATCTTCTCTTTTGTTTATTGGTAATTTTGCTATACAGTTTTTAACTTCTTATTATTATATGGCATCTTTGTACACTAATGAAAGGGGATGCTTTTTTTGTTCCTTCTATTCATGTTCTCTAAAGTTACTTGTCATTTGTCACCATAATTGTTTTTGTAAATATTTGTTACCATGATTTAAGAAATACTAAATCAAAAGGTATGCTGTTTTGGTTCTTGATTTGAATAAAGTGTTTTATTTTTCTTAAGTTATTTCACTTATTTGTAACCATGTATTTTTTAATATTATTTGTGACCATGATTTTCATATAAAGTTCTTTGTTGCCTGGGTTTTAAAAAAGAGATAACTAAAAAGAAAGGTTGCATATATAAATCGTGATGATGAATCTCCTGGATCATTACTCTGTGCGTAGGGACCCGATGACGAGCTCTTTCCTGCTCAAGAAGCTCTCTTGCATATACAAACAGCCATTGTTGATCTTTTTCCAGAAAAGGAAAATATAGTCACAACTCGGTTAGTTGTGCAATCAGATGAAGTCGGATGCTTAAGAGGCAAGGATGGTGTAGCATCTGAGATCCAGAGTCTGAGCGGTGCAGCTGTGCAGATTCTTCCCAAGGAAGAATTTCCATCCCGTTTATCAAAAACTGATGTGATTGTACAGGTGTGTCCCTGCTCAACTGCTATCCAAATACCTATGCACTTCTTCCATTCTATTTTAATTAAGATAGTTTGGCTTTCACATTTTTGAAAACATGTAGTCCACCATTAATGTATTTAATTATCAATTATGAAATTATCTGAAAATAACAATATCTTATGCTACAGGATTTGTCATTATAATTAGTAAAAAAAATATGGTCAAGGTAAGGGTATATGAAAAGAGTCGAAGTCAAACTGTTGCACTAATGAGCAGAGGAATCATTCCTTTTATACCCTTATCCAAAACTGTTGATGTCGTTAGTTCTTGAGGTACTCATCCTCTTGCTGGATGAACTAACCAACTAACCTTTTATGAGCACACGGAGAACCTGTCTCCAGTATTTGTCAGTGTTCGTTGTGATTATATCTCTATTAGGAAGATTATACGATTTTGATAACTAGTGCATTATGCAGATTGTTGGTGAGATTAAAGCTGCTAGACTTGCACTTATTGAGGCTACTGCCAGGCTAAGGAGTTACGTATATCGAGAGCTCTTCCTGAAAGAGACATGTCCTGTAGGGAAAGTTAATGGAACTGAGATCTGTTTGTCTCAAGAAACTAATGATTTAACTGATCATCCTCCTGCCATTCAAAATGGTTCAAGAATACCAACATCCAATCCACTGAAGGTATTTTCTACAGTTTGTGTTTCAGACGATAAGGAGGCTCTTACATCTTTTCAACTTTTGAAGTGTAATAGTTAATAGTTATATCCTGTATGAAAAAAGAGTCCCGCCCCCTTCAATATTGCTCTAGTGTTCGTTTTACTTCCTTTGGGGATATAGCACATAATCCACTTTTTCACTTTCTTGACTTTGACCATAAGACCTCAGAATCTTTAGTTAAAAAAAGTCAGTATGTCATTCATAGAACTGCATTTCTGTCACAGGAAATTGAGGTCCACATCAGCGAGCCATCAAAGCGAAATGATGGTGAACGCCTTAGAGATATGCCAAGTGGATTGAATAGGTAAAAATCTACATTCATCTCCAATGGGTGTGTTTCATTCGTTGACAGTCCGAAATTCACACACCTCTTTTCTTTTCGTTTCAATGATGATATAGAATGCATGTGCCATTAGTCACTAGAAGTACATTGGAAGTAGTCATTCCACCACATGCGGCTCCAAAACTAATAACAAAATCTAGAAACAAGCTTTCTCAGATCAGTGAGGTGAGTTGTCATTCCACTGCTTTTACTACTTACTATACACAATTATATTTGGCAGGACTTCTTATACATTCTTTTCCCCCCATGGATATGTAATGTTCTACAGCTATCAGGAGCTACTGTCAAATTGATTGAAGATAGACCGGAAGTAACAGAAAAGACAATCCAAATATCGGGTACACCAGATCAAGCTGAAAGGGCTCAGAGCTTGCTTCAAGGATTTATTTTGAGCAGTATGTCTCTTACTGCTCTCTACTCTATTATGGGACAGTTTACAACTTAGAGGAAATGGATATGCTTTTTTTTATCCATGTATAAGCATGAATCGTGGAGTGGCCAAGACTCCAAAAAGTTTAAATTTTGGGCAGGCTGGAAGAATTATCATTTTATAGTTTATACTCCGTATAAATTTTTACACACAAAAAAAAGTTACACAAGGAAAAGGATTTTGCTGAAGGTGGGGTAGACCTGGGCTTGGGTTGGCCCACACCTACATACACCAATTTGCATAAAGCTTATTTAGCATTATTCTCTCAATTGTATTGATATAATTTCTATTGATTTGCTATCCAGCGCAAGAAGATGGGCCCTGAACAGACTTGGACAAATTTTGATTGGTCAGGTATAGCTACTGAACTTTCTGTGTTATATTATATATACTAGGGTGTGTTAGACCATAACAAGGCTTGATATGTGTGTGCAAGGTTAAAAAAAACAAATGTCAGCTCTTTGTTAAATGTAATTTATAATGTTTTTGCTCTTGCTTGTAAATTGTACACAAGTTCCTTTGTTGCTTAAGATTGTCGTTAAATCCAGAACTCGAATCCAAAGCTTTGCTTTGCAAAATACAAAATGGTTACCATGAAAATTAGAAATTTGTAGTTCGCCGCAACCTACTATTGTGCCCATAAAGTTTGAAACCATCCTCAGACACTACCAAGTATCAAATGCATCCCGCAACTTGATATTGATAGACAAGAAAGAAATGACCATTTGTTCTTCGAATGTGATAACAGAGCATGTATTTGGTTAGAAATTTAAAACTATCTGGCATGACAATGAAGTTGCTTTAGCTCATTAGTGGCTAAGGCATGAAAAGGGCCTTAGGGTGTGTTGGTCTTAACACCCTGCTCGCAACTGGGACGTGTTTGAGAATGTATAAATACTTCTTATCATAACTGTTAATGTATCAAATCACAATTATCTTGTGTTGTACATATCCATATGATTTTCTTAGTTCATTTACTTAACATATCAAGGGTTAAGCATTGTGATTTTGTATGAAACATGGTATTCTTGCAAAGCTTTGGTTAATATTGTCCGCGGCATATATTGTATTGGTCAGTAGGAGTAGGTCAATGTTTCTTGTTTCTTTTCAAATACATTTTAGACCCACCCCTCTGATCGTATGTTTCTCACCGTGCCTAATTTCTTCCTTTCATATGCTAGGATTGCTAGCCCACCCTTTTCTTTACAAAGACATAGAATTGGTCTTTGTAGATGGGGCAGTACCGATTCTTTGCCCCAGCCTAGATTGCCGGGACAGAGTTCCCCCTATCATTCTTCTCCCTTTTTCCTTCAAAAGTTGAAGCTGGAGAATTTAAAATGGTCACACCATGTGTGAAATGGTTTCTGCTAGAATATTTTAACCACAAAGTTGATTACGTCACCTGTTGGTGAGAAATGGTCAAACAGTTTGGATAGGAAACCCCAAATAACACTACAACATCGAAGCCTTAATCTCAAAAGATATTGAGGTTGGTTGGCAAACCCAGAATAACACTATAAGCTTGAAATTCACCTCGAGGAATAGTGTCTAAATGATGAAATGGTCTGTGAGAAGAAATATATTCAAGTCAATGTAACCAGTAACTTAGGGGAATCCGTCACTGTAATCAGTCACTGGTTTGTGGGTAAGATCGGGACATCTACGGTTTGGATTGGCAACATGTTGAATAGCTCTTTTCTGTCGGGGTGGGACTAGGGATGGACTGGGCTCGGGCGGCTGACCCGGGATCGACCTAGACCGGTACTACTTAGACACCTAAGAAATGTGGGGCGAGTACTTTTTCTAAGAAATGTGCTGAAATCCTTATAAGAGATTGAGTGATGTAGCCATGGACCGGGTCGGTCCGGGCCCGGCCGGGCCTAAAAAAATTTCAGTGAAGCCCGGGACCGGCCCGGATGTTGACCGGTGCCAGTTCGGTCCGGGCCCGGCCGGGCCGGGTCCGGTTCTATTTTTTTTCTTGATTATTTCATCCCCTACCCCCCCATCCCCCAAATCCATCGGAAACACCCAGCCCAGCCCATTAAAACCCGGCCCAAACAAAAAAAAAGTAAAAAAATAAAAATAAAACAGGCCCAAACTGGGCCTGGCCGGTTCACATTTAAGCAATCCCGGAACCGGCCCCGGTTTCATCCTTAAACCAGGCCTAGACCCAGAACCGGTACCTGGTTCCCGGGCCGGGCCGGGCCCAAACAGTGCTGGGCCGGGTGACCTGCACCGAGTCCAACACTAGAGTGATGTGGTTTACGCTTACCTAGTTATCTGCTTCTTTGCTAAAAATTGTGTTTTGAACTTTTGATTTACTAAATGTACACACAAAACAAGGTCAACACTAGCAGTAATCATTGACATATATGTAAATAACATAATTACATCAAGTGGGGGTGGAACGGGCCCGGTCTGGTTCCGGTTTGGGCCTGGGCCCGTCCGGGCTTGGAAGGTTTTGGGTAAGGCCGGGCCGGGAGTCTACTAGTGCTGGTTCAATTTTTTTTAGTTTGTTATTTATTTCAAGCCCCCACCCCCCAAACCCCTTGGAAACACCTAGTCCACCTAAACCCAGTCCAACCCCCCCCCCCCCCTCCCCCCCCCCCAAAAAAAAAGGCCTGAACCGAGCCGAGACGGTTCGACACAGTAGCGGGCTGGGTCGGTTCTGGTCCGGGCGGCCCAAACCGAGTCCATGCATAGCAGCAAGGCTGCAAGGGATGTTCACTTCTTTGAAATATACTTGGGTCGAAAAAAGCTATAGTACGGAGTATCTTTTACAAAGCATCATGGTACTGTAATGTAGTCATGGACCCGGGCCGGGCCTGGCCGGGCTTTTTTTTTTGGGAAGGAAGGCCCGGGACCAGCCCGGGTAGCCACCGGGTCTGGTCCGGGCCGGGCCAGGCCTCCGGTTCGGTCATAATTTTTTTTTTATGCTTTCCTAACCCCCCCCCCCCCACTCACCCCCCACCCCCCCAAACCCCTCCTAACCATCAAGCCCAACCCGGCTAACCCCAAAAAATGAAAAAAAAAAATGAAAAAAAAATCAATTCGGCCCGGGCCCGACCCGGCCGGGCCGGTTCGCCAAATACAAGGCCCGAGCACGGACCCGCCCCCCCCACCGGGCATAGGCCCGACCCGAGAACCGGGCCGGTTCCGGGCCCGCACAGTGGTGGGCCGGTCCCGGGCCGGGCGGCCCGAACCGGGTCCATGACTACTGTAATGGGTTTTGATCGAACAATTGAAGAGCCTACTACTGAGGAACCAAAATGCACTGAAAGGGTTCAATGGTGAAATTTATTCCACTATGCGTTAATAGTTGTTGGGATATTGGGTCCAGGCCCAATATCCCTAGGCCCAAATCCGGGAAGAAGCAGCAAGCCCAAAGAACTCCCGAACGGCATTCGGGATAAAACTTATACTTGGAACATTCTGGGTAACGATTATGCCAAGGTATCAAGGCCCAAATATCGATCGGCGTTCGGGATACTTCAGGTAGAAATTATCTCCTATGGCGGGATCCCACACACCGAACACCTTGACCGAACGGGCAATCAGCAAGTGGAGGCCGCATTTAATGCTGGATCATGGCGGCAACAAGTGGGGGCATGGGTGCTTACATGGCAGAGGTGACAGCCTACCAGATTCGACCACGTGTCCACCTTACCCATCCCCATTTTAGTATAAATACCCATGTTTAGATCATTGTAAAGGGTTAGCATTTTAATACTCAGAGCTTAGCAATAGATTTACATCTCCCATCCTTGTAATCTCATATTCATCTACCGTTCGGGTAGTTTCAGTGTAATTGCTTAATTACAGAATATAAGTAAGTTCTTGAGTTGGATATCATTTCACTATTTTATATTTTACACACATTTCAATCAACCCTACCCAATATCCCTACAATATCCAAGGCTTGTGTTGGGCTTTCGGATCTTCGGGAATAAACCTCAACATTGGCGCCGTCTGTGGGAACCGAAACTAAAAGTTCAAGGAAAACAGCTGATCTAAGCACCATTCTTTGAAATGGCTAGGCTTCATACCGCTACACCGAGTTCTGCATCCAGAGGACGAGGAGGCCATAGATCCTCTGAGGGGTGGTCCAGGCAAGGACACGCCAGTGGCAGTGCCACCCGGGAGTTCGAGCAAATCATCCCCCAGGATGTGAGGATGAACCCTCAGTTGATGAGGGATATGGCGGAGGCCATGCAACGCATGGCGGACGAACAGGAACGGGGCTACACGGATGAAACTCATGAGCCACCATCCCCGTTGCGTCCCATGCCATCTTTTGACGAAGAGGAGGACATCGAGACTACGATGGCCTCAGTTCATTCCGAGGAACGCCGCAGGAACCACTGGAGGGCCCATACCCCCAGACGAGGAGCACCAACCAGCCGAACCCCGTCCGCCCCTCGAAACGGATACAGGGAACCTACCCCCATGATAGATCCCGTTGGACAAAACTTCCAATATATCCAGAGGGATGGGGAACGCTTCATCCGGAGGAGGGCTAACATAGCTGCTCCTCCCCAGAACAGAATACCGGAATGTGTGGATGCTCGGATACCACACACTCCCCGAACGGCCCAAGACGACGAAATGGCCGAAATGAGGAGACAGATGACTGAGCTCAGAGAGCAGGTCAATCGGACGCCCCAACAAACCCCGCCAGCACGGGTTGGGATCACCTCTCCCTTTACTAGGGAAATCATGAACGCCGAAATCCTGAAGGACTGCCGTCCCTCGACCGGCTTAGCATACGATGGGGTGGGAGATCCCCACGTACACCTGAGGAGTTACCAGGGTGGCCTCATGCTATTGGGAGCCACCGACGCGGCAATATGCAGGCTGTTCTTCAGTACCCTTCGGGGACCAGCCCAGGAATGGTTCGGGACATTACAACCCGGGTCGATCGGGAGCTTTGCGGAGCTATCCACCTTGTTCTTGGCTCAGTTCGCCTCCAGCACAACCCCGAAATTACATTTCGGGTATCTAACCAGTGTGAGGCAAGGGCCTAGAGAATCAATCTCCGGATTCCTCACCAGGTGGAGGACCGAAACCCTGAAGGTGACCGGCATGACAGATGAGACGGCCATCCTTCTTTTCACCGATGCCCTTCAGACGGGAGATTTATACAGGGAGCTGAAGAGGAATCCGGGGACCAGCTACCCAGACATCCTGGAAAGGGCCAGGAACTATGCGGCCCTGGAAGAAGAGATCAGGATAAGGGACCGAACGGCCCCGCAACCTCCCACTTCAAGACTGGCAGAACGTCTGGGACCCACACCAGCGGCTGCAGCACCTCATCGAAGGACTACGCGCTTCACCCCCCTGGTCATGTCTATAGCTGGTGTTTTCCATTTGGAACATAACGCCATTCCTCCCCCTACTGACACAAGGCCCGTGATGGGACCTACCCCAAGCTCCTACTGCAGATACCACCAACGGAACGGGCACCTCACGAAGGATTGCCACGCCCTACATGTGGCAATTGAGGACCTGATCCAAAAGGGCTACCTGAGGAAGTATGTCAGCACCAGCCTGAACAGCCCCAATCAGCGCCCTCCCCCGATCCAATAGCTGGAAGCGGGATGCCCAGCGGGATGCGGAACCCAGTAATGATTCATACCTTCCCCCTATAGAGGAGGCTGAGGGGTCTGGGAATCCAGGGAAAAAGCCACGATTGGAGGTGAAAGTCATCTTTGGCGGGGGAGAGACCGGGGATACGGCCGCCGAACGCAAGAAATTTGAGCGCAGCCTCTATGTCGCCACTGTAGCTGCACCTCCCACAAAGAAGGGCCGCCTAGAGCCAATCATGTTCGGGGTGGCTGATTTACCCAACTCACCAAGTCCGCACAGGGACGAGCTAGTGGTGAGTATGTGTATAGACAACGCCTTGATCCACCGAGTTCTGGTGGACACGGGAAGTAGTGTGAACGTGCTGTATTTACGCACGTTGGAGAAGATGAAGCTAAAGAAGGACCAGCTGACCAAGCTGAAGACACCGCTGGCTAGCTTCACCGGCAATGTAATAGAGGCAGAGGGCACCATCCAGCTTCTGGTGGAAATTGGTGATGAAACTCACCGAGCGGCAGTCCGGATGACGTTTGTGGTGGTGGATATTGCATGTGCCCACAATGCCATATTGGGCCGTCCGGGGCTAGAAGATTTGGAGGCAATTGCCTCTGTTCGACACTCATGCATCAAATTCCCGACTGACACTGGTGTAGGAGTGGCTCGAACAGATCCTGCCATAGCCCGAACGTGCTACCGGGAAGCTTTGAAACAAATGACCACCCGGGGACAGCGGGTAAACAGCATTGAGGTACAGACCCGGCGTACGGAGTTCGAGGGACGCCCCGAGCCAGCCACCCTCTTAGAATACATCGAGCTTGATTCCCCTCCCGATCGTAAGATTGCGATCGGGGTGGACCTTGAAGGGGGAATCAGGGAGGGGGTGATCGCTGTCCTGAAGAGATTCCAGGTCCTATTTGCCCGAGGACCCGAAGATATGCCGGGAATTGATCCGGCCCTCATCTGCCACAAGTTGGCCGTTCGGCCTGATGCCAGGCCAGTCCAACAGAAGAAGAGATATCAGGCGGCCGAACGGCGGGAATTCACAAAGCAGGAGGTAGCCACCTTACTGAGAATCAGGCACATTAGACCAGTCATCCATGTCGAATGGTTGGCTAATGTGGTCCTTGCTCCAAAAGGAGCTACTTGGAGAATGTGTGTGGACTACTCTGATCTGAACAAAGCCTGCCCCATGGACCCCTATCCTGTCCCACGAATAGACCTGCTGGTGGATGAAACGGCAGGATGTGAACTGCTGAGCTTTATGGATGCCTTCCGGGGTTATCACCAAGTCTTCATGCACCCAGATGATGCAGAAAAAACTGCGTTCGTCACCTCGGACGGCGTGTTCTGCTATATCGTCATGCCGTTCGGGTTGAAGAATGCAATGGCCACTTTTCAAAGAATGATCGGCATACTCTTCAAAGAGGTACTAGGGGTAACCATGGAGGCATATGTAGATGACATCCTAATCAAGAGCAGGAAGAAGGAGGATCATGTCCGGGATATGGAAAGGGTCTTCGGGATCATGCAGGAGGCCAACATGAGACTGAATCCAAAAAAGTGCGCCTTCGCAGTCAAGGGGGGCAAATTTTTGGGTTATATGATGAGCGAGCGGGGGATTGAGCCTAATCCTGAGAAAGTAAAGGCAATCATGGACATGGAAGCACCGCGGAACTTGAAAGAAGTTCAGAAGTTGACCGGAAGGTTAGCGGCTTTGAGCCGATTTATGGCTAAACTGGCCGATCGCGCCATTCCATTTTTCCAAATAATGAAAAAGGCCAACCCGTTCGAATGGACAGCAGAATGTCAGGCAGCTTTTGAAGAATTCAAATTGTACCTGTCTTCCCCCCTGGTCTTAACTAAAGCAGACCCAGGGGAACATCTCTATATGTATCTGGCTGTGGCTGATCTGGCGGTCAGCTCTGTTTTATTAAAGGAAGATGAGGGCGTTCAGCGCCCTATATACTTTGTGAGCAAAGCCCTGAACGGGCCAGAAACCAGGTACACCCTACTGGAAAAAACCATTTTAGCATTGATTGCTACCATCAAGCGACTGGCACCCTATTTCCAGGCCCACCCAGTCACCATCTACACCACCCAGCCCCTGGCCACCATACTGAGAAATCCTATGGCAAGTGGGCGTATCACCAAGTGGTCCCTCCTGATCGGGCAGTATGAAATAGACTTCAAGCCTCGCCCCACGATCAAGGGACAGGCTTTGGCTGACTTCATTGCCGAATGCACTGCCAGATCAACTGAAGAAGGAGCGAACGGAGGAGTGCAGGACCATTGGTGGGAAATGTATGTGGATGGAGCATCCAGCAGCAAAGGCTGTGGTGGGGGTGCTGTGATCACATGCCCCGAGGGGTTCAAGGCATACTACTCCGTACAGTTTGACTTCAAGGTGACCAACAATGAGGCCGAGTATGAGGCCCTTATTGCTGGTTTAAAGTATGCCAAGGCCCTGGGGGCCAGCAGATTAAAAGTCCGTTCAGATAGTCAGCTGGTGGTAAGCCAGATTAATGGATCTGCCGAGGTTAGGGAAGAACGGCTAAAAGCCTACAAGGAACTGGTTGAGGAAGAAATCGGCAGGTTCGAACAGGTGGTGATTGACCAGATTCCCAGGATCGAAAACAGTGAGGCAGACATCCTATCCAAACTGGAATGCGCCGTTCGGGACGATCATGCCCCGGGCATCCCCGCACACATCCAGAGGTTCGCACAGAAAGAAATACTGACCACACCGGCAACAATGGTTGTGCGGGTAAATGCCGTGTCCTATGCCGTTCCAAGCTGGGTCACTGACTTGACAAATTACCTGAAGGATGGGACTCTGCCGAACGATAAAAATGACGTGTACAACCTCACTTGTATACAGCGAAGAGCCCCAATGTTCGAACTGGTGGACGGACAGCTGTACAAAAAGACGTTCGGGGGGCCATATCTGAAATGCCTTCCACCCGATCAGGCAGCCGCTGTGATGGAAGAAATTCACGAAGGTATCTGCTCCAGCCATCAGGGGCCAAAAACCCTGGCTAGGAAAATCATCCTGCAGGGTTACTATTGGCCAACTATTCAGCAGGACTGTTTTGGGCACACAAAGAAGTGCAAAATATGTCAGCTCTACGCACCAGTACCTGGGCGGCCCGCGACCTTTTACACTCCAATGACCATATCATTACCATTCGCTAGATGGGGGATCGACTTGCTAGGGCCCCTACCTAATGCGACCGGAGGAAGGAAGTACATCATAGTAGGGATTGATTACTTCACCAAATGGGTGGAAGCCGAACCCCTGGCCAGTATCACGGATTTTCAATGTCAACGTTTTGTTTGGCAGAATATTATATGCAGATTCGGGCTGCCCGAGCAGGTCATCACGGATAATGGACGACAGTTTGTGAGCAAGAACTTCGAGGAATTCCTCACTAGATGGGGAATCAAGCATTCAAGGGCTTCCGTAGCATATCCGCAGGCGAACGGGCAGGTAGAGAACATGAACAGAACCATCATGGATGGTATAAAAAAGAAGCTCGAAGATTACGCATCAACCTGGCCCGAACAGTTAAACTACGTCTTGTGGACATACAGGACAACTCCCCGAACAGCAACCGGAGAGACACCGTTCGCCCTCGCTTATGGATTTCAGGCTAAGGTCCCAACTGAGGTCTTGGTGCCCACTCACAGAACCATCCACTATGATCCTGAGCAGAATGAGGACAATCTGCGTGCTGAACTCCACTTCATAGAAGAAAGAAGGGATCTCTCAGCTTTACGAATGGAGGAATATCACCGGGCAACTAAGAGGTATGTGGATAAACAGGCTAAAATCCGTTCGATCGAAGTCGGAGACCTTGTCCTGAGGAATAGAGAAAAAAGCAAACCGCTAGAGGGCGGGAAGATGTCAAAGAATTGGGAGGGACCATACAGGATCTGGAAAAAATACCGGACGGGGACCTTTTCACTACAGGATACCGAAGGCCGTCCGGCAGGGATATGGAACGCTACGCATTTGCGGAAATTTTATCAATAAAAAACGGCTGTTGCCACCTCTGACAAAAAAAAAAAAAAAAAAAAAAAAAAAAAAAAAGGGAGAACAATGTTTCCAACGAGGCCAGAGTTAAGAGGAATATTGCGAGCCGAACGGTATCAACATGCCGAACGGCATCACCACAAACTCGGCCAAAAGTCTCACCTTGATCTATAGATATCATTTATCTCGATCCATGGGGAGCCATCATCTCAGCACAAAAAAAAAAAAAAAAAAAAAAAAAAGTGCAGGATACCAAGCCCGGACTCGGCTTGGGAGATGGTGTAAAAGATCTTGAGTAGGACGAACCGGGCGGCATCCGAAGTCATAGGGTGACCGAGCGGGGGATCGGGACTCTGGTCTTAAAATCTTGCCTTGGGCATACAGCTCGTCTGAACTTTATGGTGGTGGAACCCGAGCTGTATCCTGGAGGCGAGTCTCCATTTTGGCAGAGAATAAGGGGGAGACCCGAATTGGGAGCCTTATTCTCAACGGTCCAGGATGGACATCTCAACCTCATGATATGGATGACCCCGGACGGTAAAACCGACGGTATGCATCGAAATTATGGGCTTGGAAGATGGCAGACACTACACGAATTGTGAAATTGTCTTGCAGCAAGAGGTGATTGCCTTGCGAATAAGGAATACCGCGGAGGATAACCCGAACAGGTTACTCTAGCCTTCAGGGAACAACCAGTCGACGGTAATAAAACCAGACGGCATGCATCTGAAACATGGTGCTCGGAGGCGCAGCAAGCATTTAAACATTGATGACTTGCGCGTTCAAGGAACAACCAGTCGACGGTAATAAACCGGACGGCATGCATCTGAAACATGGTGCTCGGGGACGCAGCAGGCGTTGAACATTATGTCTTGCGCGTTCAGGAAACAAAGAACAACAGACGGAAATAAATCGAACAGCTTGCACCTCAACTTTGGTGTTAGGGAAGGGTCGAACAGCTTACATCTCAATCATGAGGCTGAGTTGAATAAAAAAAAAAAAAAAGAAAAAAAAAGAGAGTGTTCGGGAAGCAAGTCATTCGGAAACGGATCAATCTTTATTCTTCGGCACTACTGACCGGGAATTATACATGAGAAGAAGAAAAGGAGATTACAACAGAGATAACTAAGCTACGGGAGGATCCTTGTTCGGCACGGCATCCAAGTTGGGGTTCGGGGGATTGGCTGAATCTTTAGCCTTCTGCCTCTTCTCCATCACCCGTTGATAAGCACGGCAGAATAAGGGGTCGAAACCTTCCTCCTTGGGGTCGAAGGGTTCATCGAATGATTCCTTGATCACTTCCAGATTCCGGTCGACCAGCATATCCTGGCACTTAACAAGTGTGTCCCTTGCTAGGGCATTGGCGAAGGCTGTCCCGGACGGGGTCTCATCCAGGAGCTGGAGGCCGTCACGAAGAGGATCCTTACTCTTCTTCAAGAACTCCCCAAGATGCTTTCCAAGGAACTCCCGGGCAGTCTCCTCCAGGGCTACGTTCAAACCTTTACCCCTTTGGAAATCAATCACTGCCTGCTGAGTGATTCTAGAAATATCGGCCTGAACGGGTGCTGCTGGCTGTCCGCCCTCTTTAGGCTGGGTCTTTTTAAACTTAACACCAGCAGCTTCGGCAGCAGCAATCTTGTCCTTCAGCGCCCGGATCTCCCGATCGCGACGCTGGAGCCTCTGCTCCAATTCGGCCAATTCAGCCCTGGCCTTGTCACCCTTGTTGGCTCGATCTTGGAGATCTGCAGCCATTTTCCTAGCAGCAGCCAAAAGGGTTTGGCTCTCGTCCAGCTCCTGATGAAGGAGGGTCATCTCCCGTTCAGCTGCTAGGAAGGCCCGGTGATAGTATGTACCGGCCTGTGGAAAAAGAAACAGCAGTAAGAACAAGTTCAAAAAATGTTATAAAAAGAAAGAACTGAACGGTCAAAGGCATACCTTAAGGGACTCAGCATGGCCTGCTTCGACCAAATCAGACCAATGGGTCAAGTTGGTGAAGCCCTCGCCAGCTTTCAAAGAAGTGCTGCACCACATGGAGGATGCAGTCTGCCCGAACAGCGTCCGGCATTCGGCTCGGGGACCCATGGCGGAAAACTCCACCGTCAACCGATCGGGGATCGGGAGACTACCTGAAGCAACGCCTCCCCTGTCGCCCAGCTTCCTTGAAGGGGAGGGGACCATGGGCATCCTTTCCACAGAAGGATCCGTCAGGTCAATGACCTGGTCAATCGGGACCAAGGCGCCGCTGCTTTCGATTCTCGGCCGCTTGTTTACTGGCCCAGATTCCCGGCCAGCCAAAGAACCTGACTGAATAGCCTTCTCCTTTCCCTTGCTAACTATGGCGGTGGAGGAAGGAGTAGGAGCAGGACGCTTTATGGAGACGGGGGGAATCACACCTACAGGAAAGAACAAAGAAAAATGAACAAGAGGTTGAAAAATACACCGAACGAACAAAGTAAGGGAAGAAACATACCAATGCCAGCAGCTAGCATCTTAGCAGGAGTCAAGAAGGACCGTAGGTTCTTGGAACCGGCCAGACGGAGCCTTTCGTACTGACAGACAATATCTGCGTCCACCTTTGGGGAGGCATCCTGAACGGGGTAGGTGTTCCACCGATCAGGGAAAGGAAGCGGCGACCCCACATGAACGAACAAAAATCGTTCCTCCCATTTCCCCGGCGGGGTGGGGTTGTCGGTGAAGAGCGAACGGCCAGGGCGGGCGACAAGCCGCAGGTACCCGGTGGTCCAATAGGGCTGGACGCCGTAGCAGTGCAAAAAGAGGTCGGCGCTAGGGGCAATCCCCAACTCATGGCACCAGACGATAAAACCGTTCAGGATCCTATAAGTGCTAGGCACGAACTGTGCTGGCAGTACTGAGACCCGGCGAAGGAACTCCACAATAAAAGGGTGCAACGGGAACCGTAGACCGGCGATCAGCGCGTCCATGTGAACCAGCACACATCCCGGACGATGCCGCATGGGATGCTTAATGTACCCCGCATAAAACTGACGGGGGTGGCGGTAATAGTTGGCGGAGCATCTGTTCGGCATCTGCAGGAAGGCGTTGACGCTGTTTCCTAATGCAGTGGAAGTTCAGACTATAGCGAGGGGGGCGTTCGGGCATACCCCTTTCGTAAACTACAAGGTCATCCCCCGACTGACATCCATCATCAGGGAGGGGCTGTTCGGGATGAAGTGAGGAAGAAGACCCGTTAGAACCCGACGATCGGGTAGATGTGCCTTGATCTTTGGGGTGAGCTTTTCCCCTCGAATGGCGAATCAGAGTGGACACCATCTCTTCGGAATCTGACGAACCAGAAAAGGCAGACATAAAATAACAGAGAAGATTCTAGAGAGAGAAAGCTTGAAGGAATTCAGAAGCAGCAGAAAAAACTGAAACAAAGTAGCTACATCCTTATATAAGGAGATGCTACCGCCAAGAATCCAAATGAATAACTGACAAGTGTCAAGACGGTTGGGAGAAGTTAAAGCATCCTTTGGGATAAGAGAACACCCGAACGGGTTGAAGTCAACAAAGTTCACGAACCTCTACAATTGAAAAAGAAAAAGGCTACAAGTGTTTCCCCGAACGGGATACACTCAAATGTAATGAAGAATGATCGGTGTACCCGAACAGTATGGTTAGCTTACATGGAAAAAGGTAACACTACATCCCGAATGCTGAACACAATTACCAACTAGTTAAAAAAAAAAAAAAAAAAAGATGGTTGTACCCAGTACAGGAGTTTATACCCCGAACAGATGGGGAGAAAAAAAAAAAAAAAAAAAGAGAAGAAAAGAATAAAAAAGAAAAAAAAAAGAAATAAAGAGAAAAAAAAAAAGAAAAGAAAAAGAAAAAAGAAAAAAAAAAAAAAAAAAAAAAAGAAGGATTAGAGAAAAGGACCACGTGGTTATACCCCGAACAGGATGGTTGTACCCAGTACAGGAGTTTATACCCCGAACAGAGGAAGAAACATAGTTTATATTCCATAATGAACTATGGAGTTCATTATGAATGATATCGAATAAACAGGTCGATCAATATTAAAATCCTAAATTCTGGACTTAGCGAAGGGGTGACGCAAACCGGAGACCTGATCGCTTCAGATTACGGAGATCAACAAAGCAACATGAAACGTATTACAGAGGCAAATTGATAGGTGAAAAACAAATATGAAGTACAGTAAGTCACAAAGACGAGATGAGCAGGCAAAAATTGTATATTCATCGGCTCTACTGGCCGGAAAGTACAAAAACTACTGATTCAAAGGAAAGGAAATACAGATAATGTCTAATCTACTGTTCGGGATGATCTTCACCCTCTTCATCATCTTCTTCATCATCAGCTTCGTCAACAATTTGCACCACATCCATCCCCAGGGCTCGCCGGCACTTTTTCATCTGAGCCATCAGGGCGTTCAGATGATCGGGATGAAGATCAGCGGGAAAGTCAGAGGGTTGCACCGCTCGGCCCATATGTTTTTCTATGAGGGGGAGGAGAGGCTGAAGCATATGTTGACAACCTGAGCTGTAGACCCCGCGGGCGAAGTTTTCAGCCCACTCCTTGGTGACAGAATGCTGATCAAGCACCCTGATCCCCTCCTTCTGGCGCTCTTCTCCTGCCAGTTTCTCCAAGTGCCTCCCGAAAACAGCAGGGAGCTGTTCGGTGGCGTATTCTTCCTTGAGAGCCAGAAACTCCTCGGAAGCTTTGAATTGATCCCGAACGGCAGATAGATCAACTATCATTTCAGCCGGGCCGTCCGGGATTTGGGGAGGAGCCTCAGAAAACTTGACCTGAGCGGCCTCAGCTGCCGCAATTTTGGCCTGGAGAGAGCCCACTTGGACACGAAGCTCCCCGGCCTCAGCTCCTAGCTTCTTCCGCTCCTCGGCAAATGCTCGCCGTTCAGCTTCCACTGCCTGCTCAGCTGTTTCTTTGGCCATCAGCAGGCTTTGTTCTTTTGCCTGCCTGGCCTCTCTGAGTTTCAGGCTGTATATTCCCGCCTAATGATCAGAAAGTAAAATATAAGCACATGATAAGTTATCAAGCAAAGAAAAGAGTGAATTATGAGCATAAGATAATGAGCTACCTTCAGGACAGTCAGAGCAATACACTCCTCGGCCTCCTCCACCGGTATCGGGGGAAGATTGTGGCCATTGAGAAATCCTGACGTGGACCAGATCTGGCTCGCCGGACAGCCACCCCGCTCCAACATCTCATGAGCAGGATCGTAGAGGGAGATCCGCTCGAACTGACTAGCCAAGTCAGCCTGATGGGCAGCCACCTCCTCAGCAGAAAAATGGTGGGACTGCTGGTTAGAAAAAAGCTGATCCATCAGCGTGTCAGCATGAGTTTGCTGATCAGGAGCAACCTGCTGCACAGGTTCTACATCCCGAACGGGTTCAGGCTGCTCGGGAAGGAGGGGGGCGGTTTGGGAGGATGTCCCCTGATCGGCTTTCCTAAGCCTCTTTCTCTTTGTCTTCCTCTGCTGCTTAGGAGGAGAGGTGGGTGGCTCGTCATCAAATCCAACAGTGAAAAGCCTGCTGTCATCCATGGCCGGGTGTTCGGGATTGGCTCCTTCGGAGTCTGAAGATTCGCCTTGCTTTAGAGCTGAAAAGATAACAAAGGAACAAATTAGTACCGAGCGGTTCACACGTGGATTTATAGTACTATCACACGGGAAGGACCGCCCGGGCCATGGTACTTGGTTTTCAGTCAAGTAAGTCCAGGAATACGGGCAGTACCTATCCCGGCCCTAATTAGCCGTTCGGGAGTCAGGTAAGACATGATTTTGAAGCAGCCTCCTGCCTCCACAGCAATGACATCTTGGCTAAGCTCCTCAGAGATGAATGGCTCGGGGGATTTAGGAGGAAATGCGTTCCACTTCCTAGGAATCAAACCGTTCGGGACAGAGACAAAGAAAAACCTATCTTTCCAACCCTTAATGGAAGAAGGGGCATCACAGAACAAAATATGTCCTGGACGGGAGCTTACCACCAGGAAGCCGTGGGACTGCTGGGGGATAACCGAAAAGAAATAGTGGAAAAGCTCTAGAGTGGGTGTGACCTCGACACTGTGACAACGACAAATGAAACCAGCTATCGACCGGTAGGAGTTCGGCATTATTTGGGCTGGTACTACATTGTAAAAATTTAAAAGGGAGACAAAAAAGGGGTGAAGTGGGAATCTAAGGCCGGCCTTGACTGAGTCGAAATGGACCACAACCATCCCTGGGAAGTGGCGCATTGGGTGAAGACCCGATTGAAGGCGGAAGTCCACCGAATCAGGAATTAGCATCTGAATTTGGGCCCGATTCTGGGCCGTGAGCTTTTGACGCCTAAACCTAATAAGAGCTAGGTCAAGCTTATGACAGGAAACGCCGCTTGGAGGGCCGGCTTCCATAACCTCCAATTCATCCCCCGATTTGGTGCCATCAGAATAAACATCGGAGGAAGAGGAATCATCGCCGTTAACCTCCGCCGGAATACGGACAACTTGCAGCGTATCATTGGGGTTTTCTTCTGGAATTACAGTGCCGGAGGTAGAGAGTTCAGATGAACGAAGGGGTGCCATTCTCACCGAACGAGGGAACTAAACAGTAGAAGGAAACTCGAAGGATACCTGAACAGAAGCTACGGATGAAGCTCTAGAGGATGAATTATAAGCCGGAGATGCAAAGTTTCGAAACCCAGAATCAAAACCAGAAGAGCCTATTTATACTCTGTCACGCCGATTCAGCTGCCAATCAGAAGAGGACACGTTTTTTGTAATGATGACAGAGACACGTGTCGCACAGAGAAATCCTTCTCAAGTAATCATGACGTTTATCGGAGAAGCGAAACGGCAGTTGCAAATAACCGTCAGAACATGCCTCGGGAACCGGCGGAAGTCCATCCGATACTTACCCGAACAGCATTCGGGCAATAATCTTCTACTTCCTTATGCGCTCACTACCGTTCGAGACATAGGAAGTGGGGGACTAGTGTTGGGATATTGGGTCCAGGCCCAATATCCCTAGGCCCAAATCCGGGAAGAAGCAGCAAGCCCAAAGAACTCCCGAACGGCATTCGGGATAAAACTTATACTTGGAACATTCTGGGTAACGATTATGCCAAGGTATCAAGGCCCAAATATCGATCGGCGTTCGGGATACTTCAGGTAGAAATTATCTCCTATGGCGGGATCCCACACACCGAACACCTTGACCGAACGGGCAATCAGCAAGTGGAGGCCGCATTTAATGCTGGATCATGGCGGCAACAAGTGGGGGCATGGGTGCTTACATGGCAGAGGTGATAGCCTACCAGATTCGACCACGTGTCCACCTTACCCATCCCCATTTTAGTATAAATACCCATGTTTAGATCATTGTAAAGGGTTAGCATTTTAATACTCAGAGCTTAGCAATAGATTTACATCTCCCATCCTTGTAATCTCATATTCATCTACCGTTCGGGTAGTTTCAGTGTAATTGCTTAATTACAGAATATAAGTAAGTTCTTGAGTTGGATATCATTTCACTATTTTATATTTTACACACATTTCAATCAACCATACCCAATATCCCTACAATATCCAAGGCTTGTGTTGGGCTTTCGGATCTTCGGGAATAAACCTCAACAATAGTAATAACACTTGAGAGTTGAACACCACAATCCACATGGATGTAAGTTTTTGGGATGTAAATGAATACTTAGGAGGTACAAGGTTTATCGAACAATAGAAAAATACTCCGTTTAAATGAAAGATAGTAGTAAAAGGATTTAATTAAAGAGAATATGTTGGTTTTTACTTTTTGTGACCCTTATTCGTTACGGACAAATCACTTTCGTTAGTATTTTGATTTGATATTGCAGCATTAAATAATCTCAAGATAAACTAAATGGAGTATTAAATTGGAGGGGAAAATGTATATGACTAGAAATGGCTCATCACGCGAGATTGGACATTCACGAATCAGGACTATGAAAAAAAGTGTGCTCATTAAATATTTAAATCATTATTATATGGTCAGATGGTCTTTGAACAAGCACCAATAAGTGGCATGAAAAAACCTATAAGTCAATGTCACTATAAAATAGATTCATGGCTAAGAAGTGTATTTATATTGAAAGACAACGGAATCTCACGCATGTCCGATATTTAATCATATAAAATATCATTATCACAACACCACCTTAATATCATACAAAACATTCTGACAAGAAAGATAATGGAGAGTTTGTAATTGCTTCTACTTTTAAAAAGTGATTGTTATGATAAAAAAAAGTGATTGTTTAAAGTGATTTTAAAGAAAGCGTATAATAGTAAAGTTTGTCGAATTTGAGAAAAAAATGTTTCTAACAAAAAGCAAAAAGTTGATAATGTTTAATAAAAAAAAGTGTTTTTTATGTAATAGAAAATGTGAGAAATGTTTAAAGCACTCCTTCACCCCTTATTAATACTCTCCCTCATTTGCAAAAGTGGACGAATGTAAGATTTTAAGAAAATAACAAGTTGGGCTTTATTGTTTTTTTACTATCTCCCATAAAATAGAAACAGTGAAGTACATGGAATTGTGGAAAGAGTAAAGGAGAAATTTATCACTATTCATTTCTCTGTACTTCAAATAGAAAGTAACAAATCATTTTGGGACAATCTAAATTTCACAAATCAAATAGGAACGGAGGGTATTGTTCTAACTTAATTTAAGAACTTAAGGATGTACTTTGGTAAATATTATTCATATGATGTCATGCCAATAAATTCACCTGTTGGTCTTTATCACGACCGGAATGCTAAAGGATTGTGATTACGTTAAGGTAATTGACAAAGTTCCCACTTCACACATTTAGATCTAATATACGTAGCACGTTTTAAACCGATTTAATAGGTGCACGAGCAATCCAAGTAATGAACACCAGCAAACATGGGGGAAAATGCAATATTTAAAATGCAATATTTTAAATATTGCAATATTTAAAAGCTTAAAGCACATAATTCATGGTTAACATCAGGGGTGTGGTGGATCGGGGGGGGGGGGGGGGGGGGGGGCAACCTTGGCATCGGCCTAATCCAAATTTTAAAAATGTTTATATTTTTTGTGTAGAAAATTTTGTGTAAACCTTTTTCCAAAAATATTTTTCGTACTGGTCCAGACCGGCCCATTGCTATGGCTCCACCCTGGTTAACATTATACAAGATAATCAAGCACTTGAAATGCAATTAGATTTGTGACAAGGGTTCCAATTCCGTAATTGGTTAGGTACTTATGACCTTATGTGGTTCGGAGGAGGTGTTGTGTCAAGGGAATTGTTTAAACGATGCACAGAGCTTGATACAATGGAGATATGAGTTTATATCACTAGATAAAAGCAATATGAGACTATGAGAGGCCAAAGGACTAAGAGATTTCCCTGTTGAATTAAATCTAATTTAATTCTTAAAGTTTCTCTTAAACATTACGGAGTAATATATTTTAGGAAAACATTAAAATAGTATTCCATTCGTCGCATTTTGGTCGTCTTACTTTTCTTTTAGTTTGTCCCAAAATGGATGTCATGTTTTCTTTTTTGTAAAAAAATTGTGATCCATATAATTTCACTTCATTATATTCAAATCTCAATCACAACTTTTACTTTTTAACCACTTTATTAATAATTGTGCTAAATTGAAATGAGACAATCATTATAGAACGGAGGTAATAATAGTTATATAGATATGGTTCAATCGGCTTGGACTAATATTCTAAGTGTGGACCCGACTGGAATTGGATACTAAAAAAGTCTAAAGCATTGGGCCGATGACCAGATCGCTATGTAACACGTCTGAGCCTGGTCCGGACCTACTAGTCTGGTTCGTTGTTTTTATGTAGACTAGAAAATATGCTCAGTCCTAAACACAATAATGTCACTCATGGTTTGGGCCAGTTTCGCACTCGATCTAGCCCACCCAAGGAAGATCTTAAGTCACCGGTCAACGGTGATCACCATGATCAACCAACACCTGACGTGAATCATCTTTGAGCATCACAAGGGGTCGACAACCACATGACGACTGGACACCTATTCATTACAAGGCTGGTCGAGCACCTCTCAATCAGACTTCTTTTTCAGATCCAAATCTTGTTAGAGACCTACCTTGTATGTTGGTCATGGTTTTTAAAAAATTGGTGGGCTGCCTACGCGGTAGTTAGGTGGTTTGGATTAAATTTATTTCCGACTCAACTTGTTCTTTCTGTTAATAAGTATGAACTATTACTATTGTCAAAATATTATAGAATTATTAGTAAAGCTAGATCGTTAAAGTTCATGAGAAATGAAAATAAAGGAAATATCTAGGAACCCTAGTTGGCGCCTAGGCGCTAAGCAGCTAGTCATTGCTTGACTAACGTCTAGTGTCTTTTACAACACGAATGTTGGTATATACTACCTTCCAAAGATGTACTCTCTAAATTACATGCAATTGGACAAGGCCGTATTAGCGGTTAGCCTACACTAAATGTATCATATATGAGGTGTGCATACATATTTGTATGTTGAAACTTTTATACTACCTCCGTTCTTAAATAAGTGCAACATTGCAAATTTTACACTATTCACATGTTCTACTTTGACTACATTTTATTTATTGATGTATTAATATATATTTTTGAAAAAAATATTACTAAATTTGTCTCATTGTAAATTTTCAAAATCTGATTTTTTTTTAATTTTTTACTAATAGAGAGTTATATATATTAATGTAAAAGTTGTGCCTCGGCAAATGTGAAATGTTGATTGTTGCACTTATTTAAGAAAGGAGGTTGTATATATATATATATATATATATATATATATATATATATATATATATATATATATCACACATGTACCCATGGGCAGAGTTAGGGGAAGGCTAACCTTAGCCTCGACCTACCCCAAATTAAAAAATGTCATTATTTTTAATGTATAAATAATTCTGTACAAATTTTTTTCCAAAAAAATTCTTTGTACCAGACCAGTCCAGCTTATATAGTGCACCGGCTTCGCCCCTGCATGTACACTTGTTTTTCATTCCCATTCAAACTAACACATTGGTACTACTCTTGTCATCTCGCTACATCCTCTCTAATTTAGAGCCTGTTTGGTGATCCCATTTTCAGCTTATCAGGCTTATCAGCCAATTTTTTCACCAAACACGTAATTTTGACCAAACATTGGCTAGGGTTTTGCGTGGCCGTACATTGGCTTTTGGGAGCATTTTTTTGGTTGCGGGACTGATTCCTTTATGAGTTTTGGATAGCAACGTGCATCAGAGAAGTCCGAAGTCATCAATGAGGTTCAATCCAAGAACGAGATGAACAAGAAATTGACCGAGTTTGAAGATTTTCAACAGGATTACAATCGTCTGGTCTTGGAGGAATGGGGTGATGGCTGATGGTCCCCTCCCCTCCCGAACAACCGCCATGGAGTGAACTAGCGGCTAGAGTTTGGAAATGACAATTTCTTGCTCGCTCTATTTTTATTTTTAGTTCTAAGATTTATTTTTCTTTTGTTAGACATTTTACCTTGATTTTGGATTGTTTGTTTAGTGGCACTCTTGGGATATATAAGGCCGTTATTTTCCTTGAAACTCATGTATGTTCAGCGAAAAGTTTCGCTCAGATTTGGGTGAACTTTTCTAAGCCTGACCAGAGACTCGGGAGATTTTTAGGCTATTATGAGTCTAGTGAAGCGGGGAAGAGTATTGTGACCTTAAGGGTTCGTAAGAATTCTATATATATTGTCCGTTTGATGGTCAGCGATTCACGTTGCTTCTTTGAAAGTAACCGTCTCAATATCTAATTGTAGGGCTTTTAGTGATGAGTCTAGTTGAAGTTTTTTGGGAGGTAAAAGGTGGAATTTTAAACTCGTGGTTGATTGTAACTGTGAACGGTGGTTTCAATTAATATAGTTTGGTGATTTCCTTTCAAAAAAAACCTTTAATAAAGTAATATTAATAAATTAAATAATTACATAAATATGACCAAAATAAAGATGATTTACAAAAATATGACTAGTGACTAGAGTAGTAATGAAATCATAGTAATTCATGTTCAAGTTTTGAGCTTAAGTTACCACAACACCACATTGTAGTAATGAATAGTCATATTTATGTAAATATGTTTTATTTTAGTTATATTCTTGTAAAAACCCTAAAAACCATATTTTAGTCATATTTTAGTCATATTCATGATGCTTCAGCTAAAACATTTTAAAACGCAAAGTTTCCATGGTCAAAACGAGCACATTAATGAAAACTAACAGAATGTGAAGAAAGTCACTTTGTAAGAATTATGTTTTTGGTTAACATAAATGGCTTGTAGTTGTCAACTATATAGTAGTCTAATGACATAACTGTTGATCTTCAAAATAGATGCCGCAAGTTTGAATCACATCTCAATTGAGAATGTTGTTTTTATCATGAGCAGATATGTAAGTATGTAATAGGTTTAGAAAATTATTCCAAAAAAATGGCTAGATAATTTAATGCACCACGTTTATTAATCAAAGAGTAAACAAGATGAGTTCTAGTAAAAGAGATTCAAAGCCATCAAGCTACTTGACCGGTTGACCCTATACAATGACCGTATCAGAACTGTAAGTAGTCGTTGTTGGTTCACAATGATAAATACATTTCGGGGGCATAGAAGCTACATTTAGGATGTATTATATTAGGAATTAATGACAAAATTTTAAAAGTTCAAGAATTTTAAAAGTTTAGCTGTATTCGTGGACTTTTAAAAGTTTACAAAAGTCTTGGTGTATTCAATATAGACTTTTAAAAGTCTATAAAAGTCTAAGCGTATTCAAATTTCCGTTCATTCTTATGGATTTCTAGAATCACGGATTCCTGTGGACTTTTAATTAACTCATTTTTAGTATATTAGTTCTCTGCAATTGTCTCTTCTTTTCACCAAAGATTTATGTGGACTTTTATAGGCATCTTCTACTCATCACAAGTACGCATAAATCTGATTGCAAATTTAGCTAATTATTTAACCGGGATCACAAACCGGCCAACAAGTCCTGGACTAGTACCGGCCGAGATGGAAGGTGGGAACCAGGATGGTCTCAGTATGCAAGACTTGAACATTAAATTTTGATTTTTTTCTATCTTTTTACAAGAAATAAAGTTGAACAAGGAGTTTCTACATTAATACTAATACACAAGGTAAACTTATCTTTTCAATTTTAAATAAATAAATAAAAATTGATATATATTTTTTTTGAAAAAAAAATTGTATATTATATGTCGTCTTACGAAGAAAAATGTGTGGGTGAAATCGGTTCAATTCTTGAACCGTTAATCCCATATCGATTCGGTTCTTGAAGTTTTTATAAGAATCGTTTTGAGAATCGATAGTATTAAATTGGTGCTATTCTGGTACGTAGTCAGTTCATCATTAAGAATTTTTTCAACTATTAATGTATTTCATCGTTAAACTGCTAACACATAAAAATATAATTTCAAATTATTAAATATTTAACTAAATAAGTATACAAAATTTAACAAGCTAAAAATGAAAAGAAAACAATTATTGAGAAGAAAAGCTCGATTGCACCTATGTGTGTACCACATGTAGCAATGAGTGTAACGCTTGTGTAATTACAATATTCTTACTCATTAAGTTGTGTAATACAGAGTATAACAATTGATCATAAAAAACAATTGATCATAAATAGATCGAGACTGTTGAGCATTCTTGAAACTTTGAGTTTCTTTTTAACGAAAATAGATTTAGGTTCTTATGCTTCATGTATTCTTATAGAACTCTGCGTTGCTTGATGAATTACATTTGTTTCATTTATTTACTTATTTATTTAATTGTTTTTTTTATCATATCACAAATAGGTAATTACTTATGGTAGGACTAAAATATACGTAGTAGCATTTTACAAAAGTATGATCATATGTTTATTTTTTTAATAGGACTAAATATTACATTTCTACTCTTAATATAATTAATTTCTCATGCAATTTTGGACGCGATTTTCATTATGGGTCATCCTGAAACAATCTCTCTGTACTTTAAAATTGCGTACATCCGACCCCCCCTTACTCCACCGTAGGTGGGAGCTTTTGCGGCACTGGGGTAAATGAAAATGAAAATGAAATGAATTAATTTTGCATACTTCTCTTGCATAACCAAAAAATTCTACCAGGAACCTCTCCAAATGGCGACGGCCGGACAGAACATCCAATATAAGGGCTTATTTGACCTTTTTTGGTTAGTACGTGGGTTTATTTGCCTTTTTTCTCTAAAAAAAACCACCACAATCCATATTCAATACACCCCATCATAGTAGATGGATTTGGCATCATAGAGTTCACAAAACTAAATTTGATTCAATAAATTAACTTCAAAATTGGTCACTTGAGTGTATTAAAGGAAATGTAATGGATAAATTAATATCCATCCCATATGGAAAGGCTCTGAAGTGGTTCGAGGGAAAACCAACAAACATGTGGGTCCAAACTAATTTCACATTGCGGCTGGTCCAAAGACCAGGCTTAGGACAATAGGACCGCCCTTGGACTTGCATGAACATGGCAGAACTCGAAATCCTTTGAAGGCAACCTTTCACACTTTCAAGATTAAAGCCTGTCACGCTCCAAAAGAGTTCGGCCTGTCACGGTATCCTTCTTTGTATGCCTATATTTTAGAAAGGGGAAATGGAAACTAATAATCCAACCTTTTAGTGGTCTTCTTACAATAGTCCAACTTTTTTGTTATTCATGAATAATCCAACCTTTGTACCTCATCTTCATTCATGGTCCCTGACCGATTGATGACCTGCTTTTTCAAGTTATTTTCTTATCTTTGCAAACCATTATACCATAAATCTCACCTTTCACAAAGATAATATTTTGCAAATACAAGAAAATAACTTGAAATAGTAGGTCATTAACCGGTCAGGGATCAATGAATGAAGATGAGGTGCAAAGGTTGGATTATTCTTGAATAACAAAAAGGTGGGACTATTATAAGAAGACTGCTAAAAGGTTGGATTATTAGTTTCCATTTTCCCTTTTAGAAATTACTATCAGCATCGTTTGAAAGTGACGGAATCAAGATTTTCTACAAAAAATACCAGGCTTTTTGAGTATAAAACCAGTACAAGTTGGAGCTACCTAAAGAGATTAGATGAAGTCAAAGAGAAAAAGGTGTTTGAAGAAACAATTTACACTGAATACACAATCGCAGTTTACGTACAAAAAGGAGGAAGGCAGCATACAGGATTGCTTCTTTGTTTGGCATTTAGAAAAAGAGAAGCCTGACATTCTCTTCTGGTGAGATCTTGTTTCATCAATACTCATCAAGGTAAGTGTAAAGCATGTCATCATTCTTTGACTTGCGCCTGCTGCTGAGCAAAGCTTTAAGGAGACGCTTACTTTTACTGGGGCGACGGTCAGAGTCTCTGGGATCCTTTCTTTCTGCATGCAAAGCCAATGGTGTCGCCTTCCGACTTTCTGAAGTATACGTCTTCAAAAGGCATTATCCAGAAAATCAGATATCCCAGAAATAGATTTCAACTCCAAGAATGCTGATAAGATAACCAATGGGACCAACAAAAGGGAGTCCCGAACCCCTAGGTGGGTGTGGGAAGGGGGAACTATAGTGCCGATTTTGAGCCAGAATTGTATGTGTATATATAAGATGACCTTTTCGAGAGCATACAATGTGTCATATAAGAAAGCTATGTAACTATATAACTATTCATTAATTAATTGTTACATTGTCTTGACATTATAGTTCTTGCCATTCCATATATTCTGTTAATAAACAAAAATGAAAAGAATGTATACTTAATTACATTGTCATGTCTTGACAACACTTCATAATGTTTACTAAATTTCTATAATTTAATATTATATAGATGTATTCAGAAAAAAGTACATATGAAATACTAATGGACTCATTTCTTAATACTTTTTCAACACACTATGCAAAACCCTAACTTTAAATCTCACAAACTACTCATGGCCGGTGCATCCCACAAGCTTGAGAGCTAGTTATATAAGTAAGTGAAAAGTAATGACTAAATAAAGCACAGTGTGCATAAATTATGTTTAAAACTTTAAAAAATCTTTCATTTGATAATAATGACATAGAAACAAAGTTACATAAAAAGGCTGCAAGTGAATCTAGAAATCACATATTAACGGCAATATGCAAAAGATGTGAGCTTACCTGTGCTCTAAGAAATGGGGTAGGAGTGGGCGGTCGGCTTGGATTTGGGATGGTTGATTGACAACTCTTAGGTGTCGCTGGCTTACTAGAAAGAGATGCACTTCGTGAATGACGAAAATGGTGAGGCGACGCTGTTCGCTTCTCTGATCAAGAAAACAAAGGCCATGAATAAGTCTGATTTGAGCATAGTGTTGAAGGGAGGAATACGAAGAAATGAAGAGCCAAGTGCAAAAGGGAGGGAACAAACCTAACTCCCTTTTAGGCATGGTGCCAGAGGTGGGGAAAGAGGGTAAGGATTGCAGCATAAGTTGAGGAGAAGGTGATGGAGGGTGCTCTTTTCTGCTATCCATTAAACTTTACCTGAGTTACCAAGTAAATAATGAATGGAACAGGGAAAACTCAAAGAAAAACTTACCCAGGTTCAGTTTTTGGAGCATCCAACGTTTTTGCTTCAACAGCTGCAGATAATTGTAAGACAACTGTTATCATATATGGACTTGATAACAAAGAGATGTTATTATAATTGATAATAGAAATAATGACAAATATATCACCAACAAAAAACATGGACAAATTTATGAGTTTATGACTCTACACTCTACAGCACGATGACGATAATGGTGTTTTCAGTGGAGTGATGGGTGATGTTTAAATTTACTATGCAGTGACTACTAACTGTGTACTCTTATTTACTATACATTTATTTTAGTAATAAAATGAGTAATCATATCTCTATTCCTAAAAAGTAACTCTATTCCTATTATTTATTAATATGAGAAATCATATTGTAGTAGCTTAGCACAAAGGCCCTGAGAGCCTACAAATAAACCTAACAGGGGATAGAATTATCACAAGAACTTTCTGAGTTAAAAATCATTAAATCTTTATTCTCTCATTGGACGAACTAGAAGAGACCACGCACGTGGTCGGCTGAAGCACAAAATAAAGAACATTATTTTATGTTCATTACCACATATCTGTTAAGTCTTAATACCGAGGAGATTCTTCTGTTATGCATAACTCAGCAATACTAATATGAGTAACACGAGAGATAAATACATATTAACTTTAATAAGATAAGAGGTTAATCAACCATCATGCTACCTTTATTAAACTGATGCCCGGCATTTTTATCATCAATATCACACCTGGTGTCCCCTAGTGATGAAAAAGGCAGAAATAACTCTCAAACTCTTTCTTCATTGTAAAGAAAACTGTGGAAAATGTAAAACGGAAAAAGTTATATTTACCTGGCAATAAGTACCTTTTACAGTGTTTCGGGGTTTTTATGGTTAGTGATTGCTGAGAAATACCCTCTCGGTCAATATACTCCTGGCATGTCCGTAGTCTCTGGATGACAATACAGGAAATGAATGTTCAAAGCCTGTATCCTCCCCTCTATCCCCAGTCCTCACAATTACACACATCACATCATGTAAAAAAAATAAGCAGACCAAAGTTATTATGCCCTCTAGTCATATCTGGTTAGCTTTTGTTTCCCACTCAATCTTCAAAATCAATTTCTTTATCATATCATATATATATAGAGTTTTTAGTCTTACGAAGATATAAAAAGCATAGGATCACCTGTTCAACACAAGATATACGAAGTTCTGTTCCAGAAACCTCCACAACTTTTTCATCCAACAAATCATTGGCCTTATATGTCACAGAGCCCAAATGATCAACGGTGTTTAGAAGAGCTTTGATGGCATAATCCTTCAACGTATTTGCCACTCTGTGCAACCAGCACCAAACTTCAGAACAAACTAATTCGAAGAAAATGAGGCTAATGAGCTAAAAATCCCTCCAATAAATTACAAAAACTAACTCACGCCTGCTTTTGTTCATGATTTATATAAGATAACTCAAAATATTCAGCCGCAGAGTAGAGTTGCTTTCTGAGATTTGCCAAGTCCTGAAAAAAAATGTAATATGAAAAAAACACTTACCAGAATGAGACAAAATCATAATCACCCAGATCTAATTTCTACTTGTTGGGGGGCAGCATGAAATTTATAATATCAACTAATTTAGTTCAAACTATATCTCACGCAAATAAGTATAGTGGTAATGGAATTAAAACAAAGAACAAGATTGATATTGTTAAATTAACCTGCAACAAGAATAACTGAATAAATAAAAGCAGTAGAGAGAAAATATGTGAATGTTTCTTTACTACTCCGTATCTATTAAGGTCTGAAGTTTCACTCTAATATGTCAAACTAACTTAAGGAGTAGCTAGAGGTCTAGTTTATGATCTTACATTTTTATATTAGGCCAGTATGAGATGACATAACACTATCCCACCCCAAACTGCCAGTGTTCCCATGAGGTCTATAAATTTTATCAAAACTTGAACATGCCTAAAATGCATTGTTACGTCCCCCACCCCCCACCCCCCGGATAGAAACAGCTTGCCAACCTGCTATAGCAAAGCTTATAATCTCTGAGCCCAAAGTAGGAGGCCATTTATTCACCCAAAATTAGGACCAATTTTTAAGTAAGGACCAAAAGTTTGAATTGTCTATGAAGTGCCTCAAGAAAGCTCCATTAAAGCCAGCAAAAAAGAAATTACCTCAAGACTATCTGTTAACAGCATATTTTGCGGCACCGAAACCTCGACATGGTTGCTTGGTCCTCGAGAAAATGGCATTGTAGTGGTTACAGTTTCTAGATGATATTGTCTGGAGGAAGAAGCTTTTGCTAGGAAGAACTTGAGTCCATTTCCTGCAAGAGCAGTCTTGAATTATGGAGCAACCATAGAGATCCTAATCTTGGACTACCGTTGTTTATATTCACTTAAGCCCCTTGGGCAAAAAGATCCATATTTTTCTAAAACTAGCAATAAAAGTAGAAACTATTCTGTCACTACCCACACTAGCTAATATACAGATACTAACTCACATGTATGTAACCTTCGGTTACTCTACTCATCTTACTACGTATTAGAAACAACCAAAGTGTTTTTTTAATTATTGCAAACATAGCCTATATTGTACCACAAGGAAACGCGTTTCTTATTTTTTCTCTTAATTACAAAAACCACCCTCCTTTATTTACTCCTCGTACACAAGAACAGGCAGCTAATATCTCAGTTCAAGTTTAAAAAGGCAAAGAGTGAGTGATGGACAAGACCAAGAACAATACTTCAAACGAAAAGTACAATAAAGGAAAAAATAAACAACGGGGCCAAGGCAATCCCTTTTCCATCTCCATTCCAACAACCCCAGGCTTAAAAGATGGTTAAGCATCAGAAACTGAGATTTTTTAAAGCTAATCTTCTCTGAACCTTAACCAACACGCCCTCATTCTCATGTACGTAGTACTAGAATATTCCTACTCAAAGGTGCAACCTTTGAATTAAAACTTCGAGTGTTAAGAATAATAGATAAAATGGCCAAAAGAGTAAAAGAAAAATTATCTCAGAGCTTACCTTCCAGTGAAATTTGAGGGTGTTCTTTGACTGTTTCACGGTACTGGAAATAAAAGAAAGACTCGCATTATGAAGATCCAGCTGTGCTTTGGGCCTTTTGGGCATTTGCTAAAAAAGTTGATGGTCAAGGCATGAGTCATGAGTAAGCCAAACAGGGAATATGAACCGTTTGGTTAACCGGGGAAAACGACAGTCCGGCTGTTCCCTAGTGCTGTTGCATATTGCGGACAGCACACACGCAATGACGCAATTCGACAAAAATAAAAGAACAGAGAGAGACCATTGATAAGACCATTTGGAGTGGTGTGAGAGTCTAAATGTCAAAAATGGACTCTGTCGATATGAAAACAGTGTTTTGACTCCTATTTCTCTGCATTCCAGCACCGTCAATAAAATACACTCTGCACATTATTTTACATCTCAATTTAGTAAAACATTAATTAAATTATTATAAGTAATGTTTTCCCTTTAATTTTTTCTTTGAATAATTATAAAATAAAAAAAGACACATTTCGATGTAAAATAAATAAATTTCATTAATGTTTTTTTTACGTTTTTCGATGAACTGAGTTCAAACTTATTAGAACATTGGATTCTCTTTTCAACTTGTGTGTCTATCCATAACACATTGGATTCCCTTTTCACATGTGTAAAAAATGCACATTCTGATGTTAAAAAAATATTTAATTTCTTTTATACTTTTTTCTGCTATTAAAATATAAATTGGGTTTAAAATTGGGTTCAACTACTGTTTGTTTATTTGTGGAGACACCATGGTTTAATAAATTTATGTTTCGTGTATTTTTTCAGCCTAAAATACTCTAGCAGTTTGAACATCATTTATACATTTAATTTTATATATGTGATATTGGTGTCATATGAAAGATCATAAAAAAATAAAAGAATTGATATATGTTTTGTAAAAATTGAAGCACAAATAAATAAGTTATCACACTTTTAAAAAAAGAAAATATTTTTATGTGGTCCCATTATTCTTCTGTATGCTCCCTTTTTTGTTGTCCACTATTTGTTTCAGGCAACATTTTCCTTTTTTTCCATACTTTTTGGCTGTCAACCCAACCTTTTATATATGAGACCTTCTATCCAATTTTCCATTTTTAGACTCCCAAATTGGTCTCCAATGTAAGCATTTAGGAGTCTGAAATTTCCATTTTTGACATTTTAGACTCCTAATACCTTACCACTCCAAATGGCCTAATGAATTAATGATGAGATATATGGCCCAATGTAATAACCCGTGTTTATGATAAAATTATGACTTAAATGGTTAAATCTTTTTTATTTATAAACAAATTTCATAAATTTTAGCTAATTAAGTAGGAAAAGTAAGGGTTATCGGAAGATAACGCCTAGCCGTGGTGTCTGCCGCCAATTTTGCCTAGGTGGTCTCGACCACCGTTGGGGGCTGGTAGGAGTGCGATTTGTTTCTTCCCTAGGGCTTATCGCCGCTGGGGTCTAGTTTTCTTCCCTAGGGCTTTTCGCCGCTGGGATTCGTTTCCCGTTTTCGTTTTATTAACGAAGAATGGTGCTTAGGTTGTGGTGTAAGTGAACGACGGCAGTGGTCTGGGCTTCGTCGGAAGGGCTCGGTCGCGGATTGGGTTTGGCCAAACAGGAAGACGCAGGGGACGAACGAAGGGAGGGGATCTCCATGTCAGGAGAAGTCGACGCTGTGATTGCATATGAGAAAATCAGCCTTTCGGGGTTCCAAGATTTGATAACATCTGTTTGGCGCCCGGTGAAATCGCTTTGGTGCAACAACAATGATGAAGTAGAGGTGGTCGAGTCGGAGGAAAACCACTATGGTGCAACAACAATCGCTGCGAGGGTCCGGCCTCCCCCAGAACCACCGACGTGTTTTCATATGGTGGTGTTGGTGAAGAAAACAAGTGATGATGTTGTTTTTATTGTCTGTTTTGTTTACTTCTATTTCGGATGTTATGTTATGTTTTTCTTTTGTGTTTTCAATCCTTGTAAGATTCTTGCATTAGGTTTGGGGGATGGAAAGTCTGCGGTAATCGTCATTGGCTTTAAGTTGCCCAATTTTGGTCTAGCGAGTTATACTGCTTTGTTACAGGTGGTTAACTCTCAGTCTCGGCCACGGGCAGATGATTATTTGTGGTTCTTTTCTATTTTTGTACCCTTGCTGAATGTTGTTTCTATGAATTAAGCCCTTTTCGAGCAAAAAAAGAGTAGGAAAAGTAATTTGAATATCATTTATTTTGATTACTAATATGTTAGTAATCTAAAGTTAAATTTCAAAAGTTAGTTGACAAGGCTAATATGTTGAAAAATAATGTTAGTAAACGACTCTATAAATGATAAATTGATATTGATAATGACAGACAAAGTGAATAGAATGAAAGAAATAGACCAAGAAAAAAATGTTTACTTCCCAAACACGATTCTGTTTTTATTTCCGAGAAAATTGCTTAAAGTGAGACTATTTCATAGTTATTTGACACAAATAAGACCTTCTTAGTAAACTTACTTTTGTATATCTATAATAGTTCTATTTTTAGAAACTTAATTATGAGATACCTAAACTACCCATGCCTTCTAACGACCTAAGCCAACAGAGACGAACTACACGCGAACTTTGAAGATTTGCATTGAAAATTTGAATTTTACCTGCAACAATTTCCTTCATAATTTCCATTCATCAAAGCTAAGGGTTCTTCAAAATCCTTTGATATAATACAATGCTTTTATCATCCAGTGCAATTTGTGGATTGTTCCTTCTGCGATTTATTGTTAAAGCTTCATGTATGTTGTTATTCTCTGTATTTTTGCACTTTTGTAGTCTTTGTATCATACTCTTAGTTGTTTATAAAATTCCTAGTTGACATATTATTAAAACTTTATTAGATATGTATCTCTCAAATTTGTAAGCAGAACACTTTCGCAATTAGGTCAATTATTGCTTAGTAAACTTTGAGCTCCTCCTGCAGCAATAACCTCTATCCCTTTAGTTCATCTCAATTTGTGGATCATTTATTTTAGAATTTTGTTGTTACAGCTCTCCATGTGTATGTATTATTCTTAGTTGTTTATATACTAGTTTTCAAGCCCGTGCGATGCACGGGCAGTACGTAATTTAGTTAATTTTAAATGTCTTTTTTTAAAAAAGAATTAATAGTGGAATAAATTTATATACTAATAATTGAAGTTTTTCATTGACACTATAATATAAGCTCGAACAATGCTAAATTGATTGTTTTACTTGATTCTGACCGTTTACAAATATTATTTTATCGTGACATACATCTTAACCTATACATACTTCTTAATTCAAATATGACTTAATAGAAAAAAAAAAGTAAACAACCCTTCAATTTAATATATAGCTCGTTTGGTAATAATAAAATTGATTGAATTGACTGATTATGTTGAAATTGATTAAGTTTTGTCTGAATGAGATGCATAATTATTTTAATAGCGTGAAATTCAAATAATTTGTCTGATTGAGACATTTGCACGACTGAATTAACGATTTTAATTTCTATACCTTGTTTATTAACTTTTTCATATTTCATATAAAAATGAATGTCATAAAACTTTAGTGACTTTAGAGAATTTTCTCAAAATGCTCAATGTGACAAATTAAAATAGGCGTACTACATTACTTTATACGTAGTATATCTTAGTGAAAGCACCTTATGTAATTATACATCTCGTATCACAAATTATGTGTGCCATTAATGTCATGACAATATACTCCAGTTTTCACTCTAAAAAAAATACTCCAGTTTTCTTTCATGCCGCGGTAACCCTTTAACTTGTACTCCTTACTATCATAATAATCTCTTAACATGTAAGTCAGATTTTAATTTCTATACCTTGTTTATTAACTTTACGTGTTTATAGGGTTTATTCCCTTTCGTTACATGTATCATTAAAAATTGTAGCAAATTTTCTGAACTTTTTTTTTTAATTTTCAAGTAAGTAACTTTCATCTCAGAGAATTACTTGGGAATATAGCACCTCCAAAGGATCTTTAACTTATTGCACTCATCAATATCAAGATCTATGTACACCATGCTTGAGGGGATGTTGATAAACATAAAATTCCTGCACAATTAGAACTAATTTACTGAATATTGAAGGGGGCAATGCACATGATATTATCACAAAGAACCCAATGCACAATGGAATTTGAACTGTTAACTTTATTTTTGTGATTACTTACCATTATATTCTTTAACTATAGTAGAGGTAACAACTATCACAAAATGTTTTGTAGGCTCATCCAGTTTATTTTGTTGTTTGGTAAGGTGATCAATGCATTGACCCCATAGTCTTACTTTGATGTGTTTCGCCCTACATGGTAACAAAAGTGAGTACATGTGATTGGACGTTACTTGAATTTTGTAGGATAAAAAAACTATATAATTTGTAAATAGATATGAAACATACCACTGGTCTTCTATTTCAATAGTTTCACATCCATTAGGATCATAATGGTACACAACCATGGCAACCACATCTGCAAGAACAATATTTAGTAGTATAAATTGATTATAGAAATATAACACCAATATAATATTTAGTAACAATATTTTTTCATAACAGTCAAAAGATATTTACTCCAAGACGACTCTTTAAATTGTTGAAAGATACAAAGTCAAATTTATAATTCGGCACTTCAATTGCTTCTCCTTTGACTTCTTTGATGACAGTGTTATGGAAGAATTGTAGCATGATTTTATTATCGGATACAACATGATACTCTTCTTTATTTGGAACCACTGAGAAATATTTTATGATGTGTATCATTCCTTCCTTTATTTTGGGACGTAATGTATGAACATATCCACTTCTTATAGATGCATAAACATAATTACCCTGCGACCACCCAAAAAATATCATTAGTTTTTTTCTAAAACAGGTGCATTTAAAATTGGAAATTTAAGAAAAAGCATATACCTCTTCATTGATCATAACCATGT